TCCTGGCAAGGGAGCACTGCTGTTGAAAATGCTGTGAGGCTGTATGGGCAAATGAAAGAACTGTATTGCAAATGCCCTAAGAGATTAGGGAACTCTTGCCGTGGAGTTCCCTTACAAATAACAAACCAACCAACCTTTACCCACCCACCCCCCAAAAAAAAATGCTGGTGGGAGTATCTGAAATCCTGGGACAAGCTAGTTGGCAGAAGGTTCCTAGTAGCAGAAGATGGGAGTAGTTTTCCCTTATGATGCTGGAGGTAATGGGCAGAGCAGGGCTTCAGAGAGTAGCTCACATGGCAGCTGAGAGGCATTTGAGAACAAGCAAAGGTCCGGTAAAGGCATGAATTTGTGTGTGTTAGACAGTGAGGAAAAATTACCGAAGTCTAAAGATAAGGAAGTTCTGCAGTTGACTAATTCACTAGTGGCTCATCTATGTCAGGACTGTGGCTTCTCTCTGATGTACCTTGAGATGGCAACTCAAGTCTCAAGTCTTAGGAAGAGGTTAGTTCCTTTCTTGTGACTTTTTTTTTAAGCTTTATTAAGGTATAAGTCAAATATACTGCATATACTTAAAATGTCCTATTTGGTGGGGTTTGATGTATGTATACACCTGTAAAGCATCACCACAATCAAGAGGGTGAACATACATATCCCAACACTCCAAGTTTCCTGTGGCCCTTTGTATTGCCTCTATTCTGATCCTGCTTCCAAGCCTGGCAACAACTGATCGTTTTCTATCTAGATTAGTGTGCATTTTTTATGTTCTTACAGCAATGAAATCATACAGTGCACACTCTTTTTTCATGGGGTTTGGCTTCTTACAATCAAGATAATCATTTTGAAATTCATTTGTGTTGCTACATGCATCAATAGTTCATTCCTTTTTATTGTGAGGGCAATTATATTGGACCTAACTGGTTTATCCATTCATCCTTTAATGAACATTTAGGTTGTTTTTAAGTTTTGGCTATTACAATTAAGTCTTTGTATGGATACGTGCATTCATGTCTTTCTGCTAAATACTTTTGAGTGGCTGGAACAGACAGCAGGTGTTAACTTTCTAAGGAGTTAGAAGTATATTAACTTTTTAAGAAGCTGACAAAATCTTTTCCAAAGTGGTTATGCCATTTTACATTTTCACTCGTGTATGAAAGCTTCACTTGGACCACGTTATCACTGATACTTGCCATGGCCAGTCTTTTAAGTCTTAGCTGCTATGATTATTTCCCTAATGATTAATGATGGGCATATTTTCTATGTGCTCTTTGCCATCCATAGATTTTTCTCTGGTGAAATGTCTTTTTAAATCTCCTCTCCAGTTTTCTTTTTGTGGGGGAAAGGCAGCTGCTCAATATTGAGTTTGCAGAGTTTTTACATGGAGTCCACATACAAGTTCTTTTATCAGATACATGATTTGCAAATATTTTCTCCCAATTTGTGGTTTTATTCATTCTCTTAATAGTGTCTTTAAAAGAGCAAAGTTTTAATTTTGATGAAGTCCAATTGATAATTTTTTTTCTTTTACAAATCATGCTTTCAGTATAAGAAATAGCATCTAAGAAATATTTGCCAGCTCAAAGACACAGATTTCGCCTATGGTATCATCTAAAAATTTTATAATTTTAGGTTTTATATTTTTGTCTGTGATCTGTTTTGAGTTAATGTTGGATATTGTGTGGAGTATGCATCAGAGATTAATTTTTGCATGGATTAATGGATATCCGTTTGTTCCAGCACCACTTGTTCAAAGACCATCATTTCTTCATTGAATTGCCCTTGTAGTTCTTCAAGAATCAGTGCACTGTATATCTGTCATTCTTTTTCTGGACCATCCCTTTTTTGCCTTTGATCTCTGCCATGCTAAACTCTCCTAATTACTGTAGCTTTGTAATGCATCTCAGTCAGCAGCTCTCCAAGTTTGTTGTTTTATAAAGGTTGTTTTTGGCTGTTCTAGGATCTTTGCATTTCTGTATGAATTTTGGAATCAGCTTTTATATTTCTACAAAAAGCCTATAAGGATTTTGGTTGGGATTTTTGTTAAATAGATCAATTTTGAATAATTAACATTTTAACAGTATTTAGTCTTCTGACTCAATGACCGTGGCTTGTCTTTCCATTTATTTGTATTTCTCTCAATGTTCTGTAGTTTTCATTGTACAGGACTTGACATCATTTGTTAGATTTATTCTTAGGTATCTGGTGGGTTTTTTATGCTATCATAAATGGAAAGATAGAGATTGTTGCTAATATAGAAATTCAGTTTTTGTACACTTTACATTGATCTGGTACCCTACAACCTTACAACTAAACTCTTTATTCTTGTATTTTGTTGATTCCTCAGATTTTTTTTACATAGATGATCATGTCATCTGTGAATAAAAATGGACTGACTTCTTTCTTTCCAATCTCAATTTTTTAATTTATTGCCTGATTGCATAAACTAGAACCTCCAGTCCCTGTCTCGTTCCTGATGTTAGGTTAGCAGAAAAGCAGTCAGTCTTTCACCATTAAGGATGTTGTTTTTATCAATTACTTTAATCAGATCAAGGATATTTCCTTCTATTACTACTTTGCTGAGAGTTTTTGCCCGGAATGGATGTCATGCTTTTTTCTTTGTGTAATGAGATTATCACATGGTTTTTCTATTTTAGTATCTATGATAGGTTATACTGATGTTTGAATATTAGGCCACCTTTCAGTTCCAGGATAAACCTCACTTAGTAATGAAGTATGGTTGGACTCAATTTGCTAAAACTTTCAGACTTTTTGCCTCTTTGTTCTGGCGGGATATTGTTCTTTAATTTCTTCCCTTGTAACATCTGTGTCTGGTTTTGGCTTCAGAGTAATGCTGGCATCATAGACTGTGTTTGGATGTGTTCCGTCCTCCTAATTTTTAGAAGAGTTTGTGAAGAATTGGTGCTGTTCTTTAGATACTTGGTAGAATACAGTAGTGAAACCTTCTGGATTTGGTATTTTTTTGTGGGACGTTGTTATTTATATGTTTAAACTTTTCATCCTTTTAACCTGTGTGTTTATATTTAAAGTACAGACATTATAGACAGCACATAATTGGGTCTTTTATATCTACTTTAAAAATGAGGAGGAACTAACCCATATGCCCATGCCCATCAGAACTAACCCATATGCCCATGCCCTTTAGTTTTTAGTGGATAGGATTCTATCCAGGACTGATGCCTAAACCAGTCTTTGGCAAATGGGAATAATGGAATTATTATGATCAACTTAGCCCAGTGCCTCCACCTCCAGCCATGATCTCCAGACCACAGGGGCAGCATCAGTGATGTTCTATGACTTCACCCCAAACCTTCTGATTCAGGTAGGGTAGATCTGCCTGTAATCAGATATTAGCAGTTTGTATTTTCACAAGCCCTCTAAGATTTTGATGCACCAACAGTAGAGAACAACTGGCTTAGACTAACCTTTACTTAGGGGTCTAGAAAGAGCTACCCAGCACTGGGCAGTTGAGGGGGTCTGTTAGCAAGGAAGGGTGAAAAGGATGGATTTACAAAGGTAAGTAATAACCTTGTCATCGTCAACTGAGGTGGAGCCCTGAAATGTGAATTTTTAACTAATCAATATGCTCTTGATGAGGGCAGGACTGTGATCCACACTCTAAGGGTAGAATGAATATATCAAGATACTGATTAAAATAGATATTTTAGAATATTCATTTGCAAGAGGAGTTAGCAAACTGTCCTTCATGCAGGTCGAGACTACTGCCTGATGTGTATGGCTGGTCAGCTAGATTTTTACATTTTTAAATGATTGAAAAAAAGTCAGTACTATTCCATGACATGAAAATTAAGGGAAAGTCAGGTTTTAATGTCTATAAATAAAGTTTATGGGAATACAGCCATATTTATTCATTTATTCATTGTCATCTATGATGCTTTTGGTCTACAATAGTGGAATTGAGTGGTTTTGAAAGACTGTGTGGCCCACAAAACCTAAATATTTACTAGCTAGCCATAGAAAAAGTTCGCCAATCCCTGATCTATAAGAAGAATTTATCAAAGAATAGTACATTCCCCAGTGATCTTGGATAAGGTAAATTAACTAATAGGTGGAAGTCCTGATTATAATCAGTCAAAGAGTGAATGATGAAGTATGTTATTTCAAGTATGTTCATTAGAATTACAGTAACTTTAAAGGATTATTGCTTTAATGAGATTTGTAATTAGAATACAGCTTTATAAAGCAAGGTCAATTGCTAGAGCCAGTGATCATAATTTTCTTCCGTTTTTTAGTCAACTGTTGGTTAATCCTCAAGATGGCACTTTTTGCATAACCCTGTCACTGAAAATGCTCTGAAGTCCACCTTATTACTAGCACAGTGTATCAGTGAGAGGAAATCTTCACTTTACCTTACAGCACCTCACAGTGGTTATTTTCGAATCCTACCCATTACTCTCTAATGTAGATGAAGGCCAGCTCTTCCGAAATTGTATCTTTGAAAGCTGTTTGGCTTTTATGAGAAAGAAGCACATGCCAAATTTGAGATGCAGGTTTGAGATGGGAAACATCTGATTATTTAAGGGTTGAGAGAAACAACAACTGAATTTCACTTACTTTTAGACTTAATTTTTTTTTAAAGCATGTAAGATTTGCCTGAGGTTACATACATTAGCCCAAGTTCATGTAAGATTCTGTTGCCCGAGAAAGAGATGCAGGTGTTCATTTCTAGAAATGTCAGTGAGGTGGTCGGGGCATCGCAGTACCCGGCCAAGGTTAGGTCAGTAACAGAAGCCTGAGACCTCTGACTCTCTGAGACATCACTTAGGAGCTTCTGAAGTCCTTCCCACTAAGCCACAAAAATTATATTGTTTGGGGATATATTTGCCTATTAAGAAATAATTTGGTGTCTGAAGTAGTCAAATGTGAGTTCTGTTTCCATGGAAACTTAAATAAATATTTTTCTCTAGAAGCGAGGTAATCTCTATACCTATATAATACCTATAATGTAGATTTCTTTTTTTAAGGTTATATGTTGGCTCTTCAAAGACATTTACATCATCAGAGAAATCCCTGAGCCCTCTGCAGTGGTGTAGACATGTCTTGGATAACCCGACTCCAGAGATGGAAGCGGCAAGGCGCGCCCTGTGCTTTAGACTGGAGCAAGGTAATTACGACTCCATACACGTACATTCATAAACTCTTGCTACTATCATTATTGTTTTTGTTACTGGCTTTGGAATAGGCATTTAAATAGAAGAACCTTACCCTGAGGTGCAGCTGTTGCATGCAATTCACTACATGTGTGTTACTTATCAGGGTTTCTCAGTGTAGAATATATTTAGTTTCATGCTTGTTTTTAGCCAGATTTTTAGCTTGTTTTAGTTTGTATTTTAAAGTACGAATTCATATTGTATTTTTTTCATTGTTTGCAAATATATCAATACATAAAATGGGTCAGTTTTACATTCTCTGGGGATGGTAAGGTTGTGTGGCTGAAATCCAAGATAGGAAACTGAGGTTCCATGGGGACCTGAATACTTTTCAGGGGCCTTTTGAGTTCCTTTAATATTTAGTTGGAGGTATAATTGGAAGTCCTGATCTTTATAAACTGGGACATAATCTTCATATTGTGTGTAACATAAGTTAACTTACATATGTAAGTTCAACTCAATTTTAAATGAAGAAAAAATTTGGACTGTTGTAAAAGCAAAAACAATAAAAGAAGTAGTAGGAGTCTACTCCTTGCTATTTGGATAAAGTAGACTCCTAATTAAAGCTGTAATCATTTAGGCTTTTGCTTGTCTCTTAACCTCTTAGTATCTCTTTCATTATCTAGGAACACTGTTCTGTTCCTTGGACTGCCTGTATCCTATTCACACTGATGCTGGAAAATGCAGATTCCCGTCCCTTCCAGATTAAACAATCAGAGTAGCTGGGAGCAGGGCCGAAGGAGTTACATTGAAATGCACCAGTGTGATTCTCATGCATGCTGAAGTGTGAGAATGCTGCCTATGAAGCTCTTCAGGGAGAAACAGTGGTTATAAAATACTGCACATGATAAGACAAAGTATATAATAGATAATATTTCTTGAGTTTGTAATTTTGTGGCAGTCAGTACATTAAGTTTTTGACCTCCTTCATTTACTTATTCTATGTGAGGTGGGTACTACACTCATGTCTAGGGACAACTGAAATGTAGAGAAGTTTAGAGGATTACTATGGCCGGATACCCCAGACGCAGAGGCAGAGCCTGGGTCCCCCTGACACTGCAGATGGTCCTTAGCCAGCATACTGTGCTTTTTTTTTTTTTTTTTGGCACAGTCATCTGTTTTAAATATTAAGGGAAGGCCAAATGAAAAAGCATATTTAATTAACATTTTAACTAAAACAAAATGTGATTTAGAAATAGAAAGTTGAAGAATTTGGTGGGCATGAAGGAGTATTCAGGCCAAAACTTGAGACAGATGCGTATCTAAGAAAGCAACCATCTCTAAGTCGGGAGACCCTACTCCTGATTCTGTTTCTGTTTACCCAACGGACCCTAAGCAAACCATTAAATTTGCCTGGGCTTTTCTCTTCCAAAGGTTGGACTGACCATCTCTAAGGTTCTTTTTTCAAACATTCCTTGATTCTGACTTTTTACATGTTTATTTTTATGTAAGAATTTGGTTCAATTTTATTTGAACTCCCAAGTGAAATTACGAACTAGAGTCCTTTTGCTCAGGGGTCAACAAACTTTTTCTGAAAGGTACCAAACAGTAAATATTTTAGGCTTTGTAGGCCACACGATCTCTGCCATAACTAGTAAGTAGCTATAGACACAAACATTAATGGACAAGGCTGTGTTCCAATAAATCTTTATCAGTGAACACTGAGATTCAACTTTCATATTTTTTTTTCACATGCCATAAATACATTCATTTTTTGATTTTTAAAAAAATCCATTAACAAATGTAAAAACCTTTCTTCGTTGGTGGATATTATAAAAACAGGCTGGATTTGGACCATCCAGGCCATAGCTTGCTGACTCCTGCTTTAGTTCATTTGCTCACAAGGTTACATACAAGGTTAAACTATATGGAAGGGAGGCTTTGTTAAATTTAATGTAAAAAATCCTAATTGATGGTTGCTTTTGAGGTTTTTAGACTGAGAGTCCAATGATCTGATTATGTGATTTTCCTATCGTTGACAAGGGGCTAGAGCAGAAATGTGAGGTCTTGAGATTGTGAGTGATGTGCCCCAGTTTAATTCATGATGTAATATGTCTGTATTTCATACAAGAGAGCTTAAGTATAAAACTACCTTTTTCAAATCAAAATTAGTCTTTTGGTAAATTTGCATATAAACCTAAATCCTCTTTTGCTGGGAGACTAAATGCTTTTTTTCCCCAAAGATCCATAGTCTTCTTAAGAAGTAAGAAATCATCGATTATAATAGGTTGTTCATTGGATGAAAATTCTTTATTTTTTTGAAATTTAACTTGTATTTTGTAAAGTGATATGTTTATACTTTAGAAAGTATCAGTCTTAAGGTATTATAAGGAAAACAGAGTCCCATCCCAACCTGCCATGCCCATTTTATTGTCCAGATGCAATTACTTAACAAAAGCCATTTGCTTTGGTTTTGCTGTTTTTTGCCCGTTAAATTCCCATGTCTATGTGGCTCCTGCTTGACTTGTGAATTTCTGCTTTGGATGGTGAAGGTTCAGTTCTTTTAAGAGCTGTTTTCCCCTTTATGCTCTCTCTCTGTGTATCCTCCCATGTAGCTTTTTACCAATTTTAAGATACATCAATATTCTTATGACAGAATTGCCATATCTAATCATATCTAAGTCATGCAATGGTTTATCAGTGTATTTATTTTTCCATCAAACTTTTTGTTTTTCCTAGAGTTAATTGTGGAAAGACAACTTACTTGCTTTCTTTGGTCTTTGTCATTAGTTTACCCCCAAGCTCTACAAATGAACCCTCCTCAGAACAGTTAGACATAAAAAAATCCACCAAGGGTTTTGTATCATTTTGGTTTTTAACTATTCCTCCTGCTAGTGTCCTCTGACTTCTTATTCTAATCTGAACTGGTTCTCTGTAGGTCTGCACATAGCTATGGGGCCTCCTTTTTCTCTCTTCCTGAGATTTCTATCCTCTCTTCAGCATTGTATGGCCTGTTTCTTAGAAGCAATAATTTCCTTTTCTAATATTCCCTCATTGGGTAGAATACTTCCTCCTTTTGCTTTTTGGGGCAAATAGGAGAGGAAAGAGGATTTGTGGAGGTAAACTCTGAAAAACCTCATGTGTCTAAACATACCTTCATTATATTATCAGTCTTGCTCTTGATTGTTCTTTGGGCTAGGTATGGAATTCTAGGTTTGAAACCATGTCCAACAGAGTTTTAGAAGGCATTTTTCCATTATATTTTAGCCTTAGAATTGTTGTTGAAGTCCTGTACCATTTTTATTTCTGATTCTTGAAAACTTCTATCTAAATATCTTAGGTATTTTAGAATCATTTGTTCCTGGTATTCTGAAATTTTTTTTCATTTTTTTGTGGTAGACAGGCAGTGGGCACTTTTGACCAGGAAACTTTATCCCTGCAACATTTCTTCCATTTCTCTGTAATCCACATCCCCCTTCCAGTTTTCTCTATTCTTTCTTTTTAGGAGCTCCATTTAGTCAGATGTTGAATCTCCTAGATTGATGATCCAGTTTTATATTTTCCTCTGTTTTCTATCCTTGATATATTTTTTTGATGTTCTACATTCTTGGAGACTAAAAACTCCTAAGCTCCTTTGCTGCACATTAATTAAGTACTTCCTGTGTGGCAGGCACCATCATAGGGAATGGGGACACAGCAGTGAGCAACATGGATGGTAAGTCCCTCCCTGAGTTCACTCTCTAGTGACAGACTTTCACTCCATCCTCCTGCTTCTTGTAAGGTACCCTTACTTGTGAACGGTATCTTAAATCTAGAAGCTTTCTGTTTCGGTTTATTTAAGCTTATAGAACCTGTCAAAGTCAGGAGAGGAGCAGTGGCTTGGGCTGGGGAGGGAGCCTGAGGGTCTCAGTACTTCCTTGCATACAGACTCGCCCACAGTTGTCCTGTTTTTGCTTCACCATAGAACTCCCCACCTGCAGTAGTGCATTGTACTTTCAATTCTAGAACCTTCCCAGGTGCTTGTTGGCTTAGCCGTCACTTTGGGCCCTTAGAGCAGAGAATGCTGAAATGCAAGTCCATTACCTAATATTTATCTGTTTTTCATTTCTGGATGAAAGGACTTCCTTAAGCTGACAGTGTCTTCTGTCTTGATCTGTCTTGTGGGTTTAGTGTTTAGCTGTCATTCTGGCCGCCTTTTGTAAGAGAATAGAAAGGAATTCCTATTTAGTCCTCCTTATCGAAGAATCCTTACTGGCTTCTGGTTAAGGGGATCCTTTGTCTATGATAGCTAACTAACAGATATCAGAAATTCCAGTTTTAACTCCATTCATAATACAGCAAAAATATTTAAATGGAGAAATGTGAGCATTCCATATTTTCAGATTTTTAGGTAGCTCTCTACTAAACCATTTTCTTTTGGTTGAGGCTACATTTCTCTTTTTGAACAATCTGCATTTTCAGGTGACAAATATTACTGAGCCTTTTCTTTCAGACCTGGGTTGTTTCCCTGCAGTGGAGTATGCGGTGCCCCAGGACGGGGACTCTGTCCTGTTGATCACACCAGCTAGAAGGTAGAATCAGTGTTGTTGCTGTGAGCGAACAGTGAAGTGAATGAATTTTGTTTAATTCTTTTTGAACTCAGTATCACAACTACTATTATAATTTCAGTCTTGCCTTCAAATATTTTAAGATGGAGTGGAGTCTTTGCACCACTTTCCTTACGAGCATGCCTTTCTTTCTGAAGAAAAGACGGTGTCACTTTTAGTATCAGCTTGCAGCATTGTTTGCTTATTCACAAGCATGTTTGCTTGAATTAGGTTTTACGTATCTTACCACATTTGGTTGCAAAATGACTAGTTGAACGTGGTCCCCCCACTCACCCCAAATTTGAAGGCATTTCACTAAGACCACCCACTGCCATGACAAGGATTGAGTAGAGATCAGATGTGAAGAGAGGGTACCGTGGTCCTTTGCCTCTGTCTCACTCTCACCAAGGGGTAGGTAAGTGTTCTTT